ACCGAGGGACGGTGTACGAGGCCGGTCGATAAGATAGAGCCCTGTAAATCTGCTGGTTACTTAACAGGTCGCCGAACGATCTTCGCCCTCCTCCATCCCCGGCCCAACCTCATCGCGGCCGCCTCCACCTTCCCCTCCGCCCCCCTCCATCTTCTTTCACCTTCCCCTCCCACCCCCTCTAAGCCCGGTCGTCGCGCCGGCCCGCGAGGTTCTTTATTACTTCATGCTCGGCGGACGGTGTTTTTGTTTCTGAGCTGCCTTCGTTTAAAGATAACAAAGGCTGGACACGGTTAACGCGTTACTGATCGCCTAACAAACACCGCGGATTCCTATAACTCCTGCCACACCGATGAAAATGTTCGAGATTTGAACTAGGGGAGGAAAGTGTATTTAGCGGGGAACCGGGTATCGTGTACTCGGGAGGGGAGAGGGGAGATGGGGGAATAGGAGATGTCGAGGAGTGTTGCTTTGAAAGAGGTTTCGCGGGCAACATAGTCTGTGAAGAGAAGGTTTGCCCTCCTTGTTGGATAAATTTTAAGTAGTATTTCTTTGGATTTTTCATCTTTGAAGGAATGATTTTACGCCATTTTACGATCTTAATCTTTTGGAAATTTGAGAAATTAATTTTTATCGCGTTTCTTTGGTATATTTGGTCGAGATATTAGCTATCTTCTCTGGCATGTTACGCGATTTATGATTTATCCAAAAAGTCTGTGAATAGTCTTCATCTTTTAAAGCTCGAATCGAACGTGTAACTATCTGTTACGTTTTTACAAAATTCCACGATTATCTTAAACATCGAAAAATCGTTTTATAAAATCTTATGTAAGATATCATCATCTTACGAAATTTATTTAAATTAAAAATATAAATTTCAAATTACGTTTGTTAAGAAAAATTCGATACGTCAATTTAAAAGAAAAGTAAAGCAAGGAATATATCACTTTACACTTATCTACTTTTAAAACTGTCAAAGTCCAGCCACAATTCTCCTAAAACGCAACCCCCCCCTATTAAATAAACCTCTCAACAACTCGTAATATGTCAAAATCTAAACCACTTCGATAAACAAAATATGCCATTATTTCCATTTACACATCTCCATGATCGAGGGGGAGTGAATAGCCGTGGACACTCCTATATAAAGGGTACCACGTTCACCCTCCATCGACCCACCTTTACTCCATTCCTTCTCGAGAGAGGGGCCCCCCAGCGAAGAAGAAAAACGATCCGGCCGTAACTCATCGTGCGGGCAGCAGTCACTCGCGAACAAAGGGAGGCCGGTCGCGAAGATCGCGAGCGGGGTGTTGAACAGGAGGGGGAGAGGGGGCCTAGGTTGCAAATATGGCAATCGTAATGGAAGGAGACTTCCATCTTGCGCTTTAGTGTCTACCCGGAGATAGATTAACCGTGTGCAACCGCGGCTATGCCTGGCTGCCGCCCCCACC